ACATTCACACCACATTTTAACATCAATTTGTATGTATTCCCCGAGGCTAAAAAAACTCAATATGTATAAGTTTCCGTTTATTCTTCACTTGGTCCCCTTAAGCGCCTTTGACTGCTTAATAAAATCAACTTCTTATGCTTTTCCACTTGCTGTTAAATGAAATAAAGTGTAAAACTTCACAACTTTGCTCCACAAAACTTGGGTTAATTGCCAATACGAATTTGTTCAACACGTTCCTATTATACCCAATTCGCATTCGCTGTAATGCTATCGTGTAAACGCTTCCAAGTGTCGTGCATTTAGCCAAAACATCTAACTATATTATTGATGAATTCCCATAGATGCTCTCAAAAAATTTGTTAATAAGCCATCGGATAAAAAGTAATAAAGTCAACAAAAAAAATAAGAAAGAAATTAAAGGTTTGAAGCAGTTTCATAGCAATCGGGAAATAATTTCTTACATACTTAATAAATTGTATACTCTTCTACGCACAAAATGATGAAATGATGTGGGAGAAGGTATTGATGTATATATAAAGTGTTGTGGAGATGAATGTAAGCAAAGATAGCAAAAATAGATTCATGCCCACTACCCTGTCCAATAGTTGTAAATTCCTGTTGTTGTTGTTGGAGGCAATAAATTGCAGCACGTTTCTGTTGAAAGTTAATTCACTGAAAGTGCTGTGACTTTGCTAACTCAATAGGAAAATTGAAGCAGATGAAGATGTTGGTAGCCTGTATTAGTGAAGCAAACAGCATAAATACATACAGCGTTTGCTGACAGAGAATAGCTCAAATTGTTGGTAGTAGATTATTTTCACTGTAGATGTTTATAGTACGTAGTTGGTACATTTATTTGTATGTAAGTTTTGTTTTGGGTATGAACAGTTGGGCGTATCACGTTTTCAACAAAAAAAAAAAAAGACGTTGGCTTTGTTTCTTGTTGCTAATCTTGAAAACTTCTTAATAGGATTATAGATCTAAAAAGAATTTAAAGATTTGTATTCAATAATTGGCAGATGCGAAATTTAGGTATTTTAAATCTTATTCTTCTAAAAATATGTAGCGCTTAAATTGTTAGACAATTAACAATTCTGGCAACCGTCTTAAAATTTCATTTCTGTATTTCGAAAGACTAATTTAAACCTATGGTCTTAGCGTTCTTCTGTTTGCCTTTTAGCAATAAATTTAATACCAAAATGTTATTCTTTTCAAAACAATAAAAACCAACAATTAAAAAAAAAAAAATTAAACTGAAAAAGGAAAATAATATAAAAAGTATTAAAATTAAAATTTAAATAAGTATTTTTTTAACAACAAAATCTAAAAATAAAAAAAAAAATATATAAACAAATTACATTAAAAAGTAAAATAAACATATAATAGTTTCAAAAATTAAATGCAATGAAAAATGAGTTTTCTTTTAAAAATAGTAAAATCTTAAAACTAAAAAAAGATTATATTAAAAAAGACAAAAATAATTGTAAAATGAAATAGGTTCCTTCAAGCTAAATCCAATTGAAAAAATATTTCTCTTTTAAAATATTATCATCTAACAACCGAAATTAAGTTAAATTAAAAAATATAGAAATAAATACATATGTTTCTTAATGCTAAGGCAAATAAAAAAATATCGTTTTAAGGAATAAAATCATAAAGTTAAATTAAAAAAAGAAAAATCAAATAAGTTTCAAAAAATTAAATGAATATAAAAAGGTTACATACATATATGCATTTTTTCTTTCTAAACTAAACTCCAATAGTTAAAAGAAAATTAAGTTAAAAAGAAGCAAATTGAATTATCAAAAGTAAAAATAACAGAAAAGAGTTTCTATAAACTATTTTTCTTTTCAAAATAATAAAATTTAAATATTTTTTCAATGCCAACTCTGCTGGTACTCTATTTCCTCTTCACGCTAAGAGCCTGCATTACTATAGGTATAGGTCATATATATATGTATGTATGTATATAAAAATGTGCTTATCCACCTGTATTTATGCAGAAAATGCAACAAAATATCAAGTACCGAGACATCATTCCAAACATTTCAATACAATTTAAACTCAGAGTTTTATAAGGGAGGTATGTGAAAGTGTTGCTCTTCGTTGCAACTCATGCAACATTAAAGCTTTCTCTATACCTCTGCTGCTACCCGTACATTACTTTAACGCTCCATCGCCTGTCACTACGTAATATGAATAAATAAACTGCTGTGTTGTGCTGGGTAATCGCTTTATACAATAATATTTGCACGCATAAGCACATTCATATAAATATATGTACATAAGGGTGGCACAAAAATACATAGGAAAATCAACTTTTTGAAATTTTTCCTGCTGGCACCACCCAGAACTGAAGAATATCAAAAATAAGAAGACACGTATTTTTCTATTTTGAAATCGATTAATATTTGCCTGTGCCGCCGGGGCTTTGAAGTTTCCCATGTATTTTACATGGGGAAAATTTTTTTTTTCGTAGAATTGCTATAGAACCGTTAAAAATAAATATTTTTTGATCGAATAAGACTATTTCCCTTCAGAAGTCTTCAAAAAATAACACCATGATGTTTAAATAACCGATAATCCTGTTGTATACGAAAATTCGTTTTTTTTATGTTTTCATAACCATATCACACATAAACAGCTCAATGGATGTGTTAATTTTTATCTTTTCATTCTACTCAATTATTTCTGTGAGTACATGGTAAACAGTTTTAAAAATAGGGTTGCCAGAAATTTGAAAATTTGTAATTATTTAACGGCTCAGTAAAATAATTAAGTCTCTTCGTCAAAACTAAAAGCCTTTTAAGAGATTTAAAAACATTTTTGTAAGGGGTTACCACCTTTCAAAAAAATACAATAATGATCATTAAAAATTTTAGCTTATTTAAAACATCAATATGGATATCAAATGGAAGGTTTATGCACGCCCAGCAGTGGGTTTTGAAAATACATACTTTAACTCACATATATTTTTGGATGGGTGGCAACCCTATTTGAAAGTATTTTAGTCCAAAGCTTATGCGTATACCTTTCAGGTGATACCCATATTGTTAAATAAGCTTACAATTTTAATAATGGTTTATCTATTTTTTTTAGAAAGGTGGCAACACCGTTCAAAAATATTTTTAAATATCTTCAAACGCTTTTATTTTTGATGAAGAGACTTAAATGTTTTATTGATCTTTAACCTAGATACAGAAAACATCGAGTAGAATGGTTATGAAAACATAAAAGAACTAATTTCTGTATATAACAGATAGGATTAAAGGTTATTAAAACACACTTAGCAAAATTTGTAGGTTAAATAACTATTATAGTGGTATTTTGTGAAGACTTCTGCCGATCAAAAAATATTTATTTTTAACAATTTTATAGCAATTCTACGAAAAAATTTATTTTCCCCATGTAAACTACATGGGAAATCACAAATCCCTGGCGACCGATTTCAAATTAAAAAAAAATACGTGTCCCCTTATTTTTGATAATCTTCAGATCTGTGGGGTGCTGGAGGAAAAAGATGTTGAGCCACCCTAATGTACATATGTATATGCGCCTTGTAGTCCTCTGCTTGCATTCACGTCGGAAATTTATGTTTATGCACGGAAGGTAGCATCGATCCATTAGTTTTACTATCCTTGCGCTCCTCCATCCCTCGAGTATTGCTCCGCACTCGTCAAGTCGACTCATCTGTATGCACCTCCAATCTCTTTCGCCGTCGTCTCTCTCTCTTGGCATATTTCAAATATTTGTGATTTATTTATTTACATTATCATTGATGGCTCAGTGGCACTTTCGCGCATTTCCCGCCTGCATCAGGACTTGTGCTGCCCCTCCAAGAATTTACATATATACGCACGACTGCGGCTGCCTTGCTGCCTGCAAGCCAATTTAATTTGATGCCATTGTAGCGCTCTATGCTTAGCTCAGAATGCGATGTTCAGTTGCTACATAAGTAGGAGTACTACATATACCACATAGAGAATACACTGAAGCTTAGTAAAATCGTATATTCATACTCATTTACGAATGCATATACATACTTATATCTATTAATTTGTGTTTATATTGATTATTATGATTGTGCGGTTTTCCAGCTAATAAAATAAACTGTTGGTAAATGTTTGCGAATTGAATATTGGCAATCAAATATTGAGTTACCCTCGCTATACAGATTTGACTTATAAGAGCTTTGGCTTTGGCTGAAGCGCGTGTCGAGTTGCGTTTGTTGTAAAATATGCTCATTAAATAAAAGAGCTTGTTACTGAGCGCTTTGCATTCTTTGAATACTTTGTACGACATTAAAATTTTGTTTTCTGTGGAACTGATGAAATTAAGTGCAAACAATGTCATGTCTTCATGTGCACCCAGCGACCGTTTTTCGTTAAAATAAATTGTAGATTATTCTTTGTACCCGAAAACTCCTTGAAAAGCCTTTTGATGGTATAAATATTTGCAGGCAATTCAATTCCAATTGTTTTAAATGCCAGCAACTTCAGTTAATATTGGTCGAATTTTTGGCTTGAAAAAATAAAAATATCCCTATACAAATCCGTTGTGTATTTAATTTGACTCGCTGGTTGTATGTTTAGGATCAAAGTTCAGCGAATTTCACTCACCGGCGTACATGAGCTGTTGTAAATATTTGCCTAAGCGTAGGCATGAAAATATGCCAACAATTGACACTAAATTCCTAGGAGAAAACTTGACGGAAGCAATAAATCTACAAAAGTCCGAATGTTACGCCTACGTACGTAGAAATTTAAGTATGTACACGACTTTGTATGCGCCCGTGGGTGTATAAAATGCTACAGGTGTCTGCATGGTAATGGATGATTGCTTACCAGCCGAATGCTTCAAGCAGCAACTCACAAAACCTAATCAATTGGAAATTTATTGGCATTTGTGAAAAAAATTTCATACCAGATGTTTTAAGCACAACTATTATGAAGGACTACGTTATCTTTCATTTCAAATTTCTCCTCTTTGCCCTTTTTCAGATACATTCCGCATGCGACGTTCCTCGTTTTCACGCTTCGGCTCGGGGGGCAAGCAAGAGCCACTCATTGTGGTCGAAGAATCCCAATTGGTGGAAGAGGATGATCGTGACAGCTCAGAGACCCCATCGAACAAAGCCAGTTTGGATATTGATTCGCCCGTAAATCCGTATTTGCTTTCACCATGGCGTGACCCACGTGAAGGCCGTAAACATTCACTGCCCTCACAGCAGGTCACCGAGGGCATCACAGCAAGTCAAGTGCGCCGCCTGTCCGAGCGCGGCGGTGAAGGTTCTGGTCCCTCGCCCAAAGAGGCGGCCTTCCTCGCCACGCTCTCACAGGCGCCAGCACCATCCGGACGACGTCATTCCGTTGTAACAATCTCCAAAGTGCCAACCACCTTATTTGGTCGCTCACGCCGTGAATCGGTTGCCGCATATCCCACCGGAAGCAGGTGAGTTGGGGAAGGGGGTTGCTTGTTTGTTGTGCTGTGCTCTAAAGTCACTATACTCTAACTATTCAACCTTTTTTCCATCTCACCAGCCGTGTGCTGAACTCGCGCCGCGAAAGCAAAACCTCAACCGGTCCACCATCCACAGATCCCATTGGCAGCATTCACAATCTACAATTGGACATAATGGATGACATTGTGCAGTCGCGTAAGGCGCGCATGAAACTCTGGAATACCAGCAGCGAGAAGGTGTGCGAGGTACAAACTTTAGATGAAGTTGGCAGTGGCACGCCGCAACGCTACACAAATCGTCGCTACTCGGAATGCGTGTCGGGTGGCACCTCACCAGCGCCGAATATGCGACGCGCCTCCGAACATCCAGCCATCATCTCGCCATGTATCCTACAACCGGGCAGCAATCGTTCGTCGGTAAAACGCAAGAAGAGCGGTGGCTTGTTGAGCACATCAATCTTTAGCGCGCTCACCTCGTCAGCCATTGAGATTAACAAATGCGAGGATGCAGTACCGACCGTAGTGTTGCCGCCTACCACTAGTGCCAGTGGCAGTGCCACCGGTGCCACCGCCAAAACTAAACCAGCCAATAGCGGCCTGATGCCATCTGCCGCCGCTTCAGCAACCAGCAGCTCAGCATCGAATCTGCTCGATCCCAATGCTGGGCGTTCTACACGCTCCAACAGCTTCGATGTTTCCATACTCAATAATGCCAAGCAGTTGGTGAGCAACGCACAAGACAATAGCTCTGCAGCGCTTTCCGGTTGGTTCGAGAAACGCCATCAGCCCATGGCGCGCAAGAAGAGCATACGCAGCAAAAGCACCGCCATGGCACTCTCCGAAGACATGTTAAAACGCTTGCAGGCGAAAGATGTTCTACGCGAAAGCAAGCCGAAATTGGTGCCACGCAGCAAGCAGAAAAGTTGGACGGACACTACCAAGGGCACTATTGTCGATGCGACTGTAATTGGTTCGGCAATTGAGGGTTTTCTGCGCAAAGGCTCCACTTCGGGGCCATCGGGCAGTTCGGGTAGTACACCGAAAAGTAGTAGCACAAAATCGGGTGGTGGTCTCTTGTCGAAGGAATCGGCTAAACGTGGCGGCCGCAGCGCGCAAAGTCAGGCAACAAATGCAGTACGTTCGACGCTCAATTGGTTTGGCAAGACGGATGAGGACGATTCGAAGGATACCTGCGAAGCGTCCCTATGCTCAACGTTGAAAGATTTGTTCGTTAAATAATTGGCAGTGCGTCGGCTGTTCAAGTAAGTGGGCGTTAACGATTGGTAAGTTTTTAAACTTAAGTGTGATATTTCGGAAAAGTGTGCAATGTTTGATGATACCTAGCGGGAGAGAGTAAGAAATATGTATTTATAAGGATTTTCTAACAAAAGTATCTATTTTATTCTGATTGATTTTGTATAAAATATAAACAGACATTTAGAGTCTGAAGTACCTTCTGGTTCCTGTTTATACAGAAATACTACATAACTACTTAAGTATGTACAGATTTAAAGTGCTTGCACATATCGAATATTCAATCGCAAAACTAACATTAAAATAGTCTTTAGAACTTGTAATTACTTAGATCGACTAAGGTGGATGGAAAAGAAAAACTAAGTTAAATTATTTGGCTAAGAGTTATGTGTTAGTTACTAGATATGTGTTCCTTGTGATAGATAATTATGTATAGAAACATACATACGTACTTATAAATATTGAATATTCTATTACACACAGTGGCGGTCAAAAGTGGATGAATGGTGTTTCGTTTTTAATATTTGCAATGTTTTTCAAACTAAAATTTTGTTTTTTGTCTATATATACATACTTGACTAGTACATTTCAATATATTTTATACATTTTTTTGACATTCTTCTTATTTACCGATTAACTTTTAATATACTGATCGCGAGCACTGCTTTGGTTTCTTGGTCTTTACATTCTTTATACTTATCAATACCACAATTTTACTCTTCCTCTTCTTTGGGGCTGTAACCGCCTAAGCGTTTTTTGCCTGTCCTCTGTCTTCTACGTCAACTGACGGCAATTGGAAATGCCAAGACCAGCTATTATACACTCTTGTAAAAAATTGTTCCGGAAGGGTTCAGTTCTGCGGATCTTACTATCTTCTCCAATATCAGCTTAAAGAAATCCTACGAAAAGGAGTCACCCCGTCTAAAACCTTGTTTGGTACTCCAAGTAGAGTGCTGCATGAATTCATTCCAACTTTTTTGTAATTTATGAATATACATTTTGTTTTAAATTTTCACAATCAAATCATTCAAACTCATTTCGATTATAGTTTTTTTCTACAAACATATTTGTTCGTATTGTAATAGGAGCGCAGCAATACATGCATAAAAATATTTTTGGAAATTCATACAAAAAATTGTCATTATTCACTTAAATTCCAAAAAATTTTAAGCCAAAATCATTCATTCGTTTTGTGTATGAATAATTCATAAGCCGTTTTGAATGAATTTATGCAGCCCTCTAACTCAAAGGTTAAGGAGTAGTGATGTGCAACAAAAAAACTTCCTGAAGTCTCGCATTTAGGTACCTATAAAAAAAAAATGAAATTAGAAACTTTCCGCTAGCTAGAAACATAGAGAACCTTTGCAAAGGTTTTTGTGTTTCTTGACGCCTTACGTAAATGGAGGGCCTACGAAGAATATTTGTTTGAAGGCTTCATACAGCTGAATATTAATCGTAGATATTTTAATGAGTATTGGTAGCCTTTGCAAAGAAAAAAGTGCCAAAATCTTTAAAAAAGTAGGAAAGCAAGGATTATTATTATTTTTTAAATTGAAAATTGAAGATTTTGTTGCCACAGTACAATGACACATTCTGACATCTTTATCTTTGAGTTCAAATTAAATAAAACTCAAATGTAATGGGCTATGGCTTTGTTTAGCGAAAATGATCAGCATGATATTCTCTTACAAAAATATATTGCGGTTATTCTGTTTTGAAAATGCTCTTGAACAGTAGTAGAGTACCTAGTTATAAAATATTCATATATAAGAAAACAAAAGTGCATGAGAGTATTTTACATACATATGTATGTACATTCATATGTACAGTTCCGAAACAAATGTTATTAGATATAAGTATATTTTTAATATGTGTTTATGTACATATATACATAATTAAATTTAGAAAGCTGCAACATTATCAAGTAATTTAGTAAATACAATTCGTGACAAAATTATAAGCGCAGCACATATTTAGTTTTAATTATTAATTTTCATAAAAATATAGTTTAGTCTTTAACAAAACCGTATTAATCCAAGTTTGCAATTTTGTGCAATTCAATAAACTTTAATAAAAATTTCAAGATTTTCATCTAAATTTCATAGAAATGTTTAGAGTAGGTAAACATTTTAAATAATTTTTTATATGAAAAAAATGGGCAGTAGCTTCAACAAGAACATTGCCAAAACAAACATAAGTTCTAACTACTTTATAATTTATTATACTAAAATTTAATGGGCCACAAAACTGCATGGTCAAAGAAATCTATTTAGAAAGCCTGAACATTTTACTAAGGTTTTTCGAACTTTATTTAAATATTGCGCAAAGTTTACGCCTTTTTTTTAAGAATATACAAAATTTTTATAAAAAATAGTTGAAAATAAATAACAAAATAAATAAATTGTTAAAACTTATCGATATGTGCACCACATAAATACATACAGTCAGTCAATAAAGTTTAGGTACAGCGATTTTTTTACAATACTGGCAACTATTTTTTAAATATTTTATTTTTCGCTTATTTTTATAAAAAATATGGTTAAATCTACAACGAAAACCCCCAAACTCAGAGCTCCACACCTTATGCAGTGAAGTTTTTATTTACACTCTTTAGAGTTGAGTACGCAGTTTTTTTAGCCAATTATCTGAACTCTGATTTGTGGGGTTTTTGCTGTAGATTTAATACGTTTATTAAAAAAAAAAACGAAAAATAAAACATTTAAAAAATAGTTGCCCGTATTGTATAAAAATCGCTGTACCTAAACTTTATTGACTGACTGTATGTATATAATTTTGTCACGGGTATGTTGAAATCACATTCATTGATTGACTTAAATAGGCAAATAAAATTTCGGTATTAACAAAAATACAAGTTATTTGAACAAAATGCATAACTTAACGAAAAATAAATAAACTAACGAATAATACAAAATCACCTCCTACAGACCGAAAAGAAAAATTAATCATGTTCTTAAGTCTCTAAGTCAAATACATAACTGCAACGGTGTTTCTGGTATGCCTGAAAAAACTGCATATTTACTAAATATCGTACGAATAAGGACAAAAGCAGTAATCGCTTATATCAAGAGGCTGATTTTTATTTGCTTGTTTTCGAATGGCGTTGCCTTTTCTACAAAAAATTGTGGCTTCTCTTTTCTGTTTTCTTCTTGCTGTTTGACCAAAGAATGTAATGCAAAGGTAAACATTTTCGGCAGAAAGGAAGCTCCATTTCTAAGATTTCCAAAAATATATAATGTATAGTGAGCGTGACAAAAGTCTTTGTCGACCAAAACAAACACTGGCGGAAATACAAAAAAAGTAGTTACTCTTTAACCATTGATTTACCAATATTCCTAATACTAACGCTTGAGGCAAGATGCCAGTTTAGTACGAGACTAATAAATTATTAAACTTGAGTTATATACTTATATAAATATGTGTCATTTCCACAGAAAATTTACATTTTGGGGAACGTTCTGCTAGAGAAAAAAAGTTTTGAGAACTTAACGTTAAGAATGAGAGGGGCGTCTTCATGTTGGGATAAAAAATCGTTTCAGTGAGAACCACGATTACTAATTCTAAGCCAGAGGAAAGCTGGATAATTTCCACTTCCAGATCGTTTATCATTAGGTGAACTATCCATTTAAGGAAATTTTTTTCTTTTTCTGTTTTATTTTTTGGCCTGTTGAATGACCCTTAAGAAAAATCCTCACAGAAAATTGTTAAAAAAAAAAAATATAATTTTATTCGGAAGTGGCGTGAAACTTTGGCTAGTTTTCATTAAAATGGTTCGTGTTTTTCGAACATAAATAAACTAAAAGACAAAACTTGCTCAAAAATTCACTGACTTATCAAATTGATGTGCAGCAAACTTCTGCTTGACTTAGGCCATTATTGCTTTTGGCCATAGATATATCAATGTTGGTATACATTTTACTGGCCGATACTTTAGTTTTTTTTTTTTTGTATCCTTTCCCTCTATCTATCACCATCGCGGTCATTTCTTTCACGCTTTGGCGCCATTTTTTTTTTTAAACCAATCGCTAGAATAAATATCTCGATGTGCGTAAAATAAGGCTAAGTCAAATTTGAAATATTTGTTGTTCTTATTTCTTAAATTTTTTTCTTTAAGAATTGTCGAGCAAGGTTAAATTTTAAATAAAAATTAAAAGAAATATTTAAAAAAAAAGTGCGTAAATGAAATAAAAACAAAAAAAGAAAAACCTAGCGACCAACAGTGCTCATGGAGAGATATAATGACTGCAAAACCATAAACCAAGTAACTATAAATAAATTCCACAAAGCAATTTTATGAAGAGAAAAATCTTGATATGCATTGTAAAGTGACAAAAGTACAACCGTTTGAAGCGTTCGTTCGACGTTTTCTATTTGCAAAATTTGCACTCAAAAATCTCCAATTTGCTATTTACCTACATGTTACATAATTAATACACATACACATAGTACAAGCATACCTAGATGTGATGTTTAAATGTTTTTCAATGAAAATTAGAATCGAAAACTTGTTTCAAAAGATTATGAAAATTATGAGAATTCACAAAATGACTGCGCGAAAAGTAGCTATGTACCTGTTTAGGACAAACGCTGGCGGTGGTGAATGTATGTAAGTACCTGATCGGCATAAGGGACTTTAAAAAAATATACATATATATATTTTATCATTATTCGTACCACGCAGGCGTTTAAATGATGTACATCTTACAGAGCGAATAATAAATTCAGAAAATTTTAAGTTTTCTTTTAATTACGGCATTGTTGGCTTCATTTATTTTAATGAATTTTGAATTTAATGCAGTACAAAAAAACAATATATATGTATATCAGCTCCACATTCATATGTACATATAAACAAAAGAAAGCATGTAATAAATATTTATAAACAAATTCAATCAAATGTAATACAAAGTTAACTGAACCATTCATTATGTGAAATTACATACCTAAACAATTTGCATAAAAATAAAAATCAAATGGAATTTGTAAAAACTACACCTATTTATGTACAAGAATACACAAGTACCAAGCGAATACATAAAGTTTTTGTTAAGAATTTCAAATAAATGAAATTACATCAAACGAATAAATTACCTTTATGTGTATGCCTGTATTACATACATACATTTGTATGACGGAAATTAGTTTTGATAATCATTATATCTATTTACACATATGTATATGTACACCAATATGCGACAAAATAACCAAATGAAAAATGAAAATTGAAGTCCAATATGAATAAGTAATTAAATTAATATTGTTATTAGTATTATTGCATGCGCATACATACATATGTACGTATGTATGTATGTAAGTGCATTTGTGCATTTGCATATGTATGGTAAATACGTGTATATGTATATGCATAACTAACAAGCTGGACTTGCCTATACACTGTTAAAAAGAAAGAAAAAGACGTTAATGCTAATCAATAATGACAATACTACATACATACATACTATACACACACC